GGAGGAGGAGAAAAGGGACGCGCGACCGCGGGGCTTTCCTCCTTTCGCCTGCCTGCCTTGCAGCGTGCTTTGGTCCCTGGGGTCGGCAGGTGAAGGACGAGGAGGAAGAGGACCATGGCTTCGCTCCCTTCGCCTGCCTGCCTTGCAGCCTGCTTTCGTCCCTGGGGACGGCAGGAGAGGGACGAGGAGGAAGAGGACGAGCCAACGTGCGGCTTCCCTCCTTTCGCCTGCCTGCCTTGCAGCCTGCCTTCCTCTTCCCGGCCAGCACGGCCCCGCATCACTCTCGCGGCGGCGGCGGCGGCTCCTTCCTGGCACCCTTCGGTGAGCGAGTTTTCTCCATATGGACGGATGCTATGCCTCCGCATTAGCGATCCCGGAGAAGGGATCGCTATGCGAATTTGTCGTTATACGGTGCGTTCGGTATGCGAGGCACCACTGTATATGCCATCAGCTTCTTATTAAGCGATATTCTCTCTGTGAGTCTAGTCTAGAGAGTCTTTAGAGTGGGATGGCCCACCATATATTATAGGACCATAAGTCCTATAATCACTTGCCATTGGCTGCGATAGCTAGGGCTGATGAATGTTTGCGTCCAACAGCATCTGAAGAATCACAGTTCTTCACTCCCTGCTTCAAGGCATTGATTCTTTTAATTTTATCAGTTCTTCTAATTTTATAGGATGAGCTCTTTTGAAGTTAAATGTGGAACTGCTGGTATTTTTTTTTCTTTAAGCATGCCATGAGGAGCACATACAGTAGATTCTGAATAAGTCCTTGATGGCCAAAATCAGATTCATTTCACTGTCTGTGCAACAAGACACTGCATACATAGTTCTTGAAGGAAAGGATAGAAGTGTTTATAATAAACCTTTCTCCCCCCCCCCCCCAACCTTCTTTTCCCCTTGCCTCCATGCCCAGTGAGCCTGTCCTTTGAGAGCATCAGCTTGGGTGAGATAGGAGAGAACTTCACCACTATCATCTGGATCCCGCGTCAGACCCAGCGAGAGCTGGAGGTTGCAGTTCACATTATGAGCAAGACTGGTAAGAGAAAGCTCAGCTTTTATGAGGGTGGGTGAGAATAACCCTCTTTACAGTTGTTCTCAGACCCAGAGCTTGGGAAAATCTACTTCTTCCTCAGGGCCTCTGTGAATCACACTAGGAGTAATCCGCTTATGTGCGGAGCCTCATCGGAATATTCTAGAGCTTCTGCGGTAGCAAAAAGATACTGTATTTTTCCATGTATAACAAACCTTCCTTTTCCCCCTTTGCCTCCATGCCCAGTGAGCCTGTCCTTTGAGAACATCAGCTTGGGTGAGATAGGAGAGAACTTCACCACCATCATCTGGATCCCTCGTCAGACCCAGCGAGAGCTGGAGGTTGCAGTTCATATTATGAGCAAGACTGGTAAGAGAAAGCAGGCGGGGATTTAGCTCAGCTTTTATGAGGGTGGGTGAGAACAACCCTAACCTTACAATTGTTCTCAGACCCAGAGCTTGGGAAAATCTACTTCTTCTTCTTCGGGGCCTTTGTGAATCACACTAGGAGTAATCCGCTCATGTGCGGAGCCTCATCGGAATATTCTAGAGCTTCTGTGGTAGCAAAAAGAAATACATTCGTGCAGACCCCTCTCCACTGGTATATATGTACATTGGTGCCAGGGCTCTCCCTTCAGTTAGGTCAACCGCTGCATAAAAGAAAGGACGTGGCGATGGGGAGGCCGGGTCGGGATGTGTGAATCACAGAGGTCCACTCGAAGAACTACAACGTGGAGTTCTCCACAGTCGCCTTTCTGGGGTTCAAGCTCCCGCTTTGGAGGCAAATTGTTAAAGTTGGACACTTGAGACGAGGACAGCTGCTGTCTCCATGAAGCAATAGTGACCGTTTGGTGGGAAATGGGTTTGCTTGAAGCCTCTGATTGCAGAAAATGAGCCTGAGGAGGGTCATTTTAGACTTTTAGAGTGGAGGAACCAAAGGTGAGAAACTGCCACAGGATGGTGCCATGGGAAATGGGGTATAGCCATTTGGAGGTACCCCAGAGACATTGATTTGACACTCACCCAAGCAGTAGCAGGGCCATTGACCTGGTGGTGGTGGTGGTGGTGGTGGAATGGCTTCCCTTCATGTCTGACCTTGTAAAACAAGTTTATATATAAACTCTTTAGACAGAAGGAGGGGTGGGAATACTGTATATAGAAATGCCTTCAGCATCCTTGGTGTGGGCTGCTGGACAGGTTTAAACCCAGCTCCGTGGTAAAGGTGGTAGTGGAAATGGAAAATGTAGTGTAGCCCTGTACCTCTTGCTCTCTCCTTTTATTGCAACTAGATAAAGAAGACTGGCGCGATGTAGGGAAGGCTACTTCCAGCCAGGGTTCATACATCATTCCAGACCTGCAGCCAGGCAAGCAATATCGGGTTCGGCTTGCAAAAGACCACCGTATTGGGGAAGTTCAAACCATCTGGGAGACAGATCTGGAAACTAGGGGCACAGGTAAGTTATCTTGTGGATCGCCACTCAGACAGCTTTTGTCTTTGGGTGAGCTCAGATGTTATTGTACTTTAGCCATACTCGGTATTGGCTGACTGTCAGGTTGCCCTACATCAGTCATTCCCAACCTTGGCTCCCCAGATGTTAATCAGATGGTAACTCCCAGAAATCCTACCAGCACAGCTAGTGGTGAAGGCTTCTGGGAGCCTGATAATCTCTGGGGACCCAAAGCTGAGAACCACTGCCCTACATTATTGCCTCTCTCCAGTTTGTAGGGCTCAGTACACATTCTGAGCAGGTGCACCCAGGATGCATGAGCAGAGGTCCACCACCAAGAATAATAGAGGAGGATGCAAGGCTGTTAAAGGAATCAACTCAAACCGAAACTATTGCTGCTGGCAGGAGGGTTGTCTCTATGAGCAGAACTGTCTCCGGGGTTCCCAGTCATAGACCATTACAGCATACTGTACTAAAATCAGTGCCAGAATGAAAAGTAGCCTTTATCTCAAACAATGGCAGCAAATAGACTGCATTGTGGTTTTTTTGTGAAGTAAACACATTGAGGGGAAAGCCAGCTTTATTTAAGAACAAGGAATCTATCAAAACTTTGACTGCTTAGCGTACTAATCTTAAATCCATTTCTCTTGTTTCCCCACGCACTTCCTGATTTTTCAAAGTCTGCATGAAAATTTAAAAGTATTTTCACAAGCATTTCTTTCTAATATGTGCATTTTTTTGCTTTAAGATTACATGTTTGCAAGCTATTTTATCTAATCTAATGTATTTTGTACATTATTTTCACTAATCAATGCATTTTATATGTACAGTTCGCTAACCTATGCATTTTTTGAATCAAAGAGGTACATTGCAACATGCAGAAAAGTGTGAATACAAAGGGACTGCCTGTGTTTTGGCTCACATATTGGTTCAGAAAGTATGAATGTGGTTGTTTCTTCCCCATTTCTGACTGAACCAGTATTCGAAATTTGATAGATTAGGCCACAATGTGTTTTTTTTTCATGGAAGGAAATCCCAGGTCAAATCAGATCTGTCACAGCAATTTTGGAATGCATTATATACCCCAGTAAAGGTTCTCTTCTCAAGTCTATATTGATCTGATCCTGCAAATCGTTTCTGAAAAAGTGTGTGTTTTAGAGGAGCCATCTCATAGCTAGTGCTTTGCAATCTATCAGCTATATTTTCAAAGATGTTGGTTTTTATTGTCCTCTCATATTTATCATTTGAGCACTGCCTCCTCCTGGTTTCTTGGGCATTTTAATGGGTTGTAAGATGTATTATTTATAGCTGTTGTTATTTGATGTGACATTTTAAAAGGGGTGGAATGACTTGCTGTGATGTGCCAAACATGTCAAAGATTCAGAATGAGACATGGGAGGAGACAGTGTACAGGTTGCTTCTGTCTAGGCTTTAGAAAGATGAAGAAGGCAGGGAGATCTGACGATTGTGAAACATTTTGAAGAACTTGGCAAATGATTCGGAGAGCCATTGTTTTGTTTTGCCATAAAAGGGCAAGAGATAGTTGCTGTTTCATAATGCAATTAAATTTGCATTTATGTGTAAATATAGTAGAAACATATATACTGTTGCATATATTATATTTGTGGTGGCTTAAGATATGTGGATTTTTATACAATGGTGAAGGACACAGATATTATATCAGTGGTGGCTTAGGATATGTGGATTTTTATACAATGGTGAAGGGAAGAGATTTCAGTGGAAAATCTTGATTTGATGGTGGCACATTACCTTGTTTTTCATTCCCTCTTAGCTGCAGGAAGGGATCATACAGACACATCTGCCTGGTGACTGCTTAATTAGATTAGACATAAGGTGAAAAGTATCCTGTTCTCTAAAAATGTTAGCTATGTTTCATTTTGACTTGCAGAGTTAATAATGTAATGCTGCTACTGTGATTGATTTATGTTTTTAGCTGAATTTCATAGGTTTGCGGGCATGATTTCATTTGTTAAGCTGCCTGTTCTTACATCTTAATTGTTAGTTGCCCTGGAAGGCATATTGCAGGTAGGGGCACATGTTCCTTAGAGAAGGAGGCAGAAGACAGTGACAGCATGGTCCTCGCCCTGATTTCTGTCTGTCTGTAGGGTTTACTTTTTTTTTTTTTTTTTAATGGAGCAGCCAGACGAAAACCTTCTAATTTCCTGGGCCTTTCTGAAATTGCTCTAGTGCTTTTAGAACTAGCCACCATTATTTATCCATAGCTGTTCTCTTTGCTTTGGCTTTATTTTACACTGGTTTCTGTCTTTGTGTTGTTGTTTCATCTTGTATTTTGTGATTTTAATATTCTTTTATATACTGTGCAGAGAATTATGGCTCTTGAACTGTTTTAAAAAGTAAGACGCAAATAGGAAACTGAGTTCAGATCCAACCTTTTATACCGTTTGCACCCGTTTCTTCCCCAGCGAGGTCTCAGGAGTTCTAACCCTGAACTTTGAGTGTGTGTTTTTTTTCTGAAAGAGACTGAAATGCCAAGTATTTTCTCACATCTGCATTTATTTAAAAACAGAAAGTTTCACCATCCCAAGAGAAGCCTCCAACCTGTTTGACCCCCCATATTGCTTGGCTATTGCTTTTCATTGGTTCTCTGGACAGAAACACAGATGCCATTTGCAAATTTCACTGCTTAGACACAGAGGCCTCCTGGAATAATCACTGAAAGACTTTATGTGATTTCAGCTGGAATAGTGCATTATTTCTGATGGGCATTTGGTCCTTTCGCATCTGAGAGTTCTGCTCCCTCCTAAAAATTCTTAGTTCCATCTCTCTCTCTCTCTCTCTATCTCTATCTATCTTTCCCCCCTCCTCAGTTAGTGAGAGTCAGAAGAGCTTGGTTGCAGAAGGTTGGTTCATCGGCTTTGTGAGTGCCATCGTCCTCGTCATCCTTGTGCTGGTGCTTCTTTGCTTCATCAAGCGCAGCAAGGGCGGCAAGTACTCGGGTGAGGTGCCCCCAGCCCCACCCTAGCACCTCGCAGCAGACCCCTCCGTGGGCTTCCCCCCAGGCTATTATCACTTATCAGTTATATAGCGCTTGTTAGTGTGCCTGGTGCCGTTCGTCCTCACAACAATCCTGTGAGGTAGGTTGTTATCGTTCCCATTTTACTGAAGAAGCGGCGGAGCCTGAGAGATGGGGGAGCTGGTGAAGTTCCACCTAGTGGAGGCCACATCTGCACCCCCCGCATCCCAAGCTCTGGTCTATGGCTTAACTGCTCGGCTGGGTTGGGCTGGGCCTAAAGGCTGATGGGAAGACTAATTCCAGGTCAGGATATAATTGGCTTAATAGTCATTGCTTCCTTCAAGGTCAGCTGAGAGGTGTGGTTAGTAAAGAGCTCCTCTATCACAGTGGTCCCCAACCTTGGGCCTCCAGATGTTCTTTGACTACGACTCCCAGAAGCCTTCACCACCACCTCTGCTGGCCAGGATTTCTGGGAGTTGAAGTCCAAGAACATCTGGAGGCCACCACTGCTCTATCAGGTTATCACTGTGCTCCCAAAACTACAACTCCCAGGGTTACTTGCAGAGAAGCGAAGAGGTCTAAAAAAAAGGGGGGAGGGGGTCCCAAACCTGGGGCCCAAGATATCCTTCAAAAAAAACTCCCAGAAGCTATAGCTGGCACTCTGGGACTCGTCGTTGATAAAACTATTGGGGCCAAGTTGGAAACCACTGATCTATAGACTGGCTTGCTTTCATGTATGGCCAATGAACTCTTACTATTCTGTTACTGTTCTGAGAGCATTTGGAGCCCCAAACTTGAGAATTACGATTTTTGTAAAGAACTGGAAGTAATATAAGGAGACACTGTACAGTACAGTAGGCAGGGTTTTTTTTTTTTTTGGTAGCTTTTTTTAAAAAAACCCTCCAAAAATAAAAGCCAACCTTGGTTTGTCTTTGGATGACAGTGGGTCAAAAGAAGCAAATGTATAGGCAGGTGGGGGAATGTGTGCTCCTCCAGATGTTGATGGACTGCAATTCCCATCAGCTGTGAGCAGTATAGGCTGGGGCTGGGGATCATATGAATTGTGCGCTAACAATATAGGAATATAAAAGCCATGCTGGCTCAGACCAACAGCTTATCTGTCCCAGCACTCCGTTTGCACAGTTTCCAATGTGATGTCCACGGGAAGCTCAAAGCAGGACAGAAACGCAACAGCATCCCACTGCCTGTGCTCCAAGAGATGGTATACAGAGGCTTACTCTCTCTGGTACTGGTGTGAACATGCACACCCATCGCCATTAGTAGCTACTGATACATCTGGAGGGCCACATGACCCCCATCCCTGTGGGCATTTATGGGACTCAGTCTTCAGCTCTCTGAAAACTGTGGCACTTCTCCAACTTCTCCTTCATAGTGGACTGGAAAACGTCTTGGGTCCCAAGAGGTGTGGAGCAGCTCCTTAAGCTCAACACTTCCGTGAAGGAGAGGAGACGTATAGCCCTTTAAAAGGGAAGCCTGTACAACTCTTCTCTGGTCTTCCATACTGGCCACCTTCTGGAGGACCCAGATTAGGCTCTGCAGCCCCCTGCTTCCAGCCCTCTGTTTTGGACGGTCCCTGCCCACCAGCGCTTTCACCTCATTTTGCCTGTGTTACTTTCTGTTCTAGTGAAAGACAAAGAAGACACCCAGGTGGATTCAGAGGCCAGGCCCATGAAAGACGAAACCTTCGGCGAATACAGGTATAAAGCAAAGATGTGGCAATGCCTCTCCAAAGTGAGCAAGGCTGGGCTAGGGAGGGGAGCGTGGAAGAGATTCCTTCCCCAAGGAATAACCCCAGTAAAAGATCCACTAATAAAAAGCATCATGAAGGGTGTTTATACACAGCTCTGTACACATGTGCACATCTGTATCTCTATATAAGTCTATACATATATAACATGACAAAGGCCAGTGATCTGGACTCCAGGATATTATTCCCATATCTAGAATATGAGCAAGTGCTCATTCTCATAGTTATCTGATTAACTAGGGCCCCGTTCTCAAGGTAGACTTCGGAGGGCTAAAAAAGCATGCTTTTGGTGCCCCTCCCCCCGTCTTCTGCAGATTCTCATAGTGTCTTGCAGGGTTTAGCATCCAGGATAGGTCTGAAGATTGAATAATCAGATTTTGGAAGGCATACAAGTGTCATTTTTTTAAGAAATCAGGAAAACCAGAGAATTCTTTTTTCATTTTAATTTTTTTTTTAAAGAATCTCAACCTTTTCTTTGTCTTTATTCGCTTTTTCCCCCAAAAAGAATGTAAGTTTTTCTTTGTGGTCTCTGTGATTCACACACATAGGTATTTCTGCACCTGGACAGATGTTTTCAGGAACACTCAAGCACTTTGCCCGTCCAGCTAAGCTAATATACTGCCCCACCCAATGGTTATTCCTCAGTTCCTTCTAACCACTGACCAGGCAGCATCTTCAGAAAGAGCACTTGTCTCTTTAAAATAGTTATTCCTTCCTAGAGAGTTAGTTCTTTTGTAACTTACCTATATAATTTACCTCCACTAACTTTTTTCATCCTTTGTTTTCATTTTTCAAAATAATAGTTAGACATCATCAAAGGTTATATCCTTTAAGGCCTGCTCATGCACTGTGTGCCGTGCAGAAGCAAGATAACATTATCCGATGGCCACAGGAAGTGTCTCTACTACCTGGGGAAAGGCCATCAAACTCATCGCTGTAAAATCTGCAAATAAGCTTCAGGAAGGTGGCACTTAACATTGGGCAGTCAAGGCTAATATTCTGCTTGTGGGAAGCAGTTGTTTAAGGCCATTGATTTCATCCCAAAGGAGCAGTTCTCAACTTCAGTACTGACCTTGTCTATTTGTAGAACTTTATCAAAAAAACATAATAATGGAGACAGTACAGTTGGATGACCAGGAAAGTCAACAATCTACTGTAAATCTGCTGATGCAACCCCAGAGAAACCTCATACTGAGGTCCCAGAATTAATATCTAAGGAAGACTTACTGCAGTCTCAGCCAGATGCTTCCAAGTCATTGATACCAACTTCTTTGATATCAAAGAAAAGGGAGAAGGTGCCTGCTTCAGAATCCTCAAAGTTTAAAAAGATTTTTAAAAAGGACAAGTAGTGCACACCTCAATACTGATGCCTACCTTAGGATATAACAGAGATTGCTTGCTTGGAATCAGTGTCTGAGGATGAAGTGGGTCTTTCCAGAAAAGATCCACAAAAATCACAAAGAAGCGACTCTTAAGCTTCTTCAACAAATTGACACATTTCCAGTTCACCTGAATTGGACAAGACTATTACTGATTCACAGCATTAATCAACAACCAGCAGACCTCAATCTTCTGGACATCGACTTAACTCAGTCTTGAGGTTGCCATCCCTACAGAGAGGCTCAGCTAAGGAGGATAGATCTTCAGGATTACCCTTGAGAGAGCTCAGTTAAAGGGGGTAGACCAATGGGTCCCCCATAACCTTTCTTAGCCCTGCTACCTTTCCATGTGGGTGCAAATTGATAAGCTCCAATGACCCAGTATGATGGCAGATGGACTAGAGAGATGTTTCAAAGCCTATTTAAGCAAATGTTGAGATTTAAGTCTCCTCATCAGAAATAATCAAAAATAAAAAAATGTCAGTATTGAGAAAACCTTTGGTATCAAACTATGCTTCCCCAGCATCAACACTGAAAAGAAGTTGATCTCTATCATCATTTTCAGAGTTGACTCTTTATCAAGTATTCAGAAAAAACAGAAACAAGTCCACAGTCAGTTCAGACATGTCTGATTCCAAGCAACAATCTCCGGATTGATCTGCTACTTTGAAATCAAGGAAAGACCAATCAGTTTTAAAGCAGAAGGACAAGAAGTTGAACTTGAATCAGGTGAAATGGAGCTCAAAAAGTGCTGAACTAGTTCCAACTAAGTCAAAGGATATTGACATATGTGGTATTTGTCCACAAAGGAGTCAATGGAAGAACATGAGAGAGGGGGGGCAATCTCATAATCATATGAGTTAGCTAAATGTCCTTGCCAAGTTACTTCAAGGGATGGTCCACATAGGATGTGGCAGCATCAATAGTCTTTTTTAAAGGGGACTCAATTACAGGACATTTGCAGGGCTGCAACGTGGTCCTAGCCTATGACTTTTGTTAAACATGACAGGTTGAATGTTAGAGCCCAATTGGATGCATTGTTTGGTTGTGCTGTCCTATCTTCCCACCAGCTGGTAAACTGACATAGCAGCAGCTTGGAAGTCACCCATATGTGTAAATCACAGAGACCACAAAGAAGAAAGACTGGTTTCTTTGAGTGGTCATCTGTGAGTTCGTACAACCCACCCAACCTCCCCTCTGATTGTCTTGCAGTTGTGTTGTGGCATTGGATGGAGGGATCTGAGGAACAACCATAGGATGGAGCAGTATATTAGCCAAGAGGGAAGGGCAAGGCTCAAGAATATTCCCAACAGCACAGGAAGTACCCATGCGTGCAGATTCACAGATGACCACTTGAAGTACCACAGTTACAGGCAAGCTGCCTGTAACTCATGGCTTTCTTGCCAATTTGCTTAATCCGCACAATTTAGAAAGACTGCAATATGTAATTTTTTCTTAGGCAGATACTTTGGATTTCCTTTTTGTGGATCCCTTTTTCCCCCCCCCCCCCCAGCATTGACTGTCCAGTCATAGGCTCAGCGAGTGAAGTGGAACTAGATCCAGTGGAGACAATAACTGTGACAAAAGTGGTAGTGGGGGGGGGCTCTTTTATAAATCCTTGTGCATAGCACACTCACCTGTCAACCGAGGGTTGATGCTGGGGAGAAGCACGGTGGGCAACGATGTGAGTTAAATACATTTGAGGGGCTCTAACAGTGTCACAGGACGTTGATGGCACTCTTCCCCTGGGAAGCCAATGGAGCTTATGCATTCACATTTAGCTGCTATGAATTGTGAACTATCCATTTCTACAGAATTGGTAACCTGCAGCAGTGTTTGAGGCTGGGTGGGCAAAGAACCAGTAGGCCAAGGGAGGAGGTGAGGAGTTTTTGAAAAGGTTGGCTAACAGCCAGAGGGTGAGAGGCTATCAGAACGGGGGGGGGGACCCCAAGCGGTACTCCGAAGGCTTCCCCTGCTTAGCTCCGTTGCTGCATGCGTTTCTGCCTTTTACCCCCTGCTGTCCACCCCAAAAGACTCATGTTAGTTCTTCCTTTCTTTTCCCCTCTTTTTTCATCCCAATGCTTGCTTCACTCATGCAGATCTCTGGAGAGGTAAGAGGAAAAGAGAAATATTCTGGGACTGCAGGTCGTCTGAGGATGCAGGGAGGGGGCGGGACTGGAAGGGCCAGGACACCCACCTTCTTGCCCTTTTCTCTTTCATTTTTTCCTACTCTCCTTATCACATCATGGAGAAGGTGAGGGTCTTTTGCCAAGTGAGCTTTAAACACATTTTTGGTTCCCCTCCCCTTTCTAACTTGAATGGGAAAATGTGCTAAAGATAGAACTGAGATGCATTTCTAAATGCTCCTGGCCTTGCCTGAATGACAGTGGTGAGTGGTGTGTTCCAGACGAAAAGGCGCTCTTCATTTTCACCACTTTTTAAAATTGTGGGTTTTAAAAAAAGAAAAGAGTAGCTCTCCCCTGAAATGGTAGATGCCAGCTATCGCTGTAAGAGTATGCATAGATATTCTGAATATGTACACACACTTTATTGTTACAGCATCAAGCCATATACATAAAACAAAATTAAATGAAGAGCTTCAAGTACTGACATATACTGCAAAAAAGCCAATTCAAATAAGCAGAAAGCAATAAGCATAATTCTGAATATGGAAAACAGCAAGGTCACCCTGTGTTGACTGAATAATAATAAAAAAATGAATGCAAGACTCTGACCTCTACTTGTCCCAGCTAGGGATGGTTTACACCACCGAGATCCTTAAGGCAGGATCACTCCCCAACTCCATTCAAATTAAATGAGGACACAACCCATCAGGAGGTTCTGCAATGCCCAGGAACAATACAAAATTTTCTTAGGAAGAGTGTGCTCTGTGAATGATCAAGTCCCCTCTTCTGAAATGTCTAATAGTATTCCAAATCTGCCACCTTCTTAGCTTGCCTGATAGCAGAGATCCCACTGCATAGACACCATCTTACACTATGTAACTTCAGATTAATAGCATTTTCTTCCACCAGCAAGGGGCAAGCCTAGACATCCCTTGGACTCCCTTCCAAATTTACAATTCTGTGATTGTGCAGTACTTTGCAACACTGTCCTATGCACATTCAAGTACAGCCCACTGAACATTTTATGCATCCTTACTTCTGGGTAAGCATACATGAAAATGCAATTTATTCAAAGCACATGCATAATCTTTTAGGCCAGGATGGGCAAAGTGTGGCCTGCAGGTTGCGTGTCGTTCACCAAGTCTTTTTTGTAGCCTCCTAAGGAAAAAAAAAACCATAGAAAAAAGAAAGGCAACAGAGAGCTACCACTAGAAACTGTATTTTTCTATTGCTTATACACCTCTGCCACAGCATCCATTCAGTTTCGCGGCTTTTAAATCTTAAGGGTGGAACTAGATGACCAAGTTATCTTGGCTTGGTCTAAATCATACTAAACAGGGTTGCTTTGAAGTGTGTCATTGGGGCAATCCTTGCATCTACATGCAAGGATTGACCACACCACACTTTAAACAAACCTGTTTATCATGATTTTCTATCTAGACTGATCTTTCCCTTTAAAGGGAAAGGGATTTCACCTCACTTTCCTTTTGAAGGGAAAATAGGGAGAAATCCCCTTCCTGCCTCCTCCTGTGTGCTTTGCCTAAACCATAGGGAGAAATGAAGCTGCTGCACGCAAGGGGGAGAGAGGGTACATGTGTGAATGTGTAAAGACCAGGGAAAAAGAGACCAAACTAGTGGCCGTGCATGACCTGACTTCCTGTTCTCTTTCCTCAAGTTTGTCTTTGCTTGGAACTAGGCAACAGCTTTTCTTTTCCCAGAATTACTTCCCCCCCCTTCCTGTTTTCATCTTGACAGGTCTTCGCTCAGCATACAGGCTTATGCCCTCTTAGCTCACTCCCTGTTGGTCTTGTCATGGGGGTTCCCAGCCCTCCCAGTGGAAGGCACTGAAGAGAGGCTTGCCCAACATGCTGTAGTCTGCATGCTCCCCTCTTTGCTAGGCACAATAGAAAGGGACCTCCAGAGATGTGCAAGAATGGATCGTACAGGGACCCAAGATGGCGTCCAACATTCCCAGCCTCACATATCCACAGGCCCGTGTGCACACTTGGGCAGCTGGCCATCTTTCCTAGATAGTCATGTGTTCCTTTGATGACAGTTGCCTCCCTACTTCTGCCGGATGGCATCATAGTCTATGGGCTGGCTCATGGGGGTGATGAGACAATAATGATGTGGATGGGAAAAGAGCATGATTTCTGGCACAGGCCAGCATCTTTTTAAAGAATAACTGAAAATAGACATTGTAGTTACTTTTCAGACAAAGGAAAGTAAGTAATTATACTGGTGTTTAATCACTTTGGGGGGATGGCACTCTAGTTGTATCCGATTGCTTTTTCAAAACAACTTCCCAGGTTCTGTGGGGTCATTTGGGGTTAAACTGTCAATTGGGAACCGTCTCTGATCATCCATAGAGAAGGATGCAGCTTCCCTTGCACTCATTCCCAGTTTATGTGAATCCCCTCAAGAATGCATGGATTGGATCTTTGGTGCTGCCTTCTCTCTTGAGGATTGGAGTCTCTTTCCTCTTCTCACCACAGTCTTTTCTCCCCCTCAGTGACAATGAGGAGAAGCCCTTCACAAGCAGCCAGCCCTCCCTGAACGGCGACATCAAGGCCCTGGGGAGTGACGACAGCTTGGCAGACTATGGGGGCAGCGTGGATGTTCAGTTCAATGAGGACGGCTCCTTCATCGGGCAGTACAGTGGGCAGAAGGGCAAGGAAGGAGGTGGAAATGATAGCTCAGGGGCTACCAGCCCCACCAACGTTGTCACTGCCCTGGAGTAAAAAGGGGCATTTCCCCAAAGGATCAATCCCTGGGGGAAGAGGATTTCCCTGTGGATGACTAGGGGGAGGTCATAGGGATAATCCCCTCCTCCCCAAGGGAAAGAAACAAAGAAATTAATCTCTCTCCTTTACACAGAAAATGGTAATTGGGGGAATTCCCCCCCTTTTGTTTACTAACTGACCCTCCCCCATTCACACAATCAAGGAGGGTTAGAAAATGAGGGGATTCCCAAAATTATCCACCCAGCCCTGAGCAAGTCTGTCTCCTCCCCACAAAAACCAGTTATCCTTCAGCCAGATTATGTGTGTCTGTATGTGTGGTGGGAAGGGAGGGAAAGAAGGAATAACAAGATCCAAGGGGTGGGCTTATTGAGATGCAAATGGGGAATCAACAGGAGGGGCTTTGGGTTCCAAATTGCCAAAAGAACTGATGACCGCCCTGCCCAACTCCTCAAGTCTCGGAAGTGTTGGGGTTTTTTTTTTAAATCTGTTCATGTTTAGCAAGAGGGTGTCTGCTGGTGCTGCAAAGTCCCATCTCGACTCCAATGGGAATCAATGGGCGGAAGAATAAGGGCTGGGAGCCAGGTCTTCTCCTTGCCTCTTGAGAAAGGAAGGTGGGTTAAGTGACAGGATGAAGAGTCATCGGTGCACTTGGCCCTTCATTCTGGACAGGGAGTAAGTGTCCATGGGCTGAAAAGCTGACAGAATTTGGGATTTTGATTCATTCTAGCATTCGCCCACTTCTCAAGGATTAAGCCGACGGGAAGCCACCTACCATTTCTACCCGTGTAGAAGCACCGTGTGCTTGTGTTGACTCTTCTCAGCCCCGCTCTGTTGCTCTGTCACTCCTTTCCTGGCAAGTCAGCTTGTTCACTCAGGCGCTCCTGCTTGTCCTGCATTGCTGAGGATGCTGGAATATATTTTAGGGCCCTACTCAGTTACATGTGGGGTCCCGGCTGGGTCTTGTCATCATCCCTGCTTGTGAACTGTGTGTACACTAGAACAGTCCTCTGTAGCTCTGGGTTGCAGAGGAAGGTTGCTAGTGGTATGCAAGTGAGTACTTCAGAAAAAAAACTTCCCCGCTGTTGCTCCCTCAAGAACCTCTGATAAATTCCCCAAGAGACTCCATGGTGCCCTGGAACACTGTTTGAAAACCTTGCCTTCTGGTGCTGAATTTCCCCTCTTAAGATTCCCTCCCTTCCTCTCTCTCATTTTGTCTTTGGGTGCCATGTTCATTTATGTTTCTTTCTTCTGATGACCAAAACGTGTTCCTTCCAGGGGAGCAAACCCTCGCCATTTCACGAAACACCGTCTTTCCCGGTTCCTCATTCCTACCCTTCCCACAAACAGATACCACGTCCAAGAACTTCCCTGCTTCTTGAATGCATCTCACACAGCTGCCTTGCGACATGTTCTGTCTTTCGAAAGTGGCCTCTTGTTCACTGAATCAAATCCCACCCCGTCTCCACTTCTGTCTGATGTAACTTTTTCCCTCCCTCTCTTGCTTGTCAGGGATTCAATAAATCCTTGCTTTTTTTGCATAAAAATGTTTTTTGGAAATAATTTAAAAAGGACAATAAAAGTACTCCAATGTTTTAAGCAACCCTACACAAAATAAACCCTGCCTTTTCCCTGGTCTGTAAATATTTCAAACCCTTGTGCTCGAGTTTGTTTTAGATGTCTTAGGACTGGTGTTTTGAAGTCTTCTAGTTGGTCTATTTAGGTGGCTTGGAAGTAAAAAAAAAAGTAAGAAAAAAACCCCACATTTTAAGAACGTTCTCTCTCCCCTGACATGTGATGCCATCCCTTCTGCCCCCACCAAGCCTTCCTGCCCTATGTATTCTTCTCTTTCGTCAGGTCTGTTGCTATCTACTTTTCTCTCTCGATGACTTTTATATATATATATATGTATATATAAACAGAATTATAAAATGGTAAATAAATGCTGACATTGGAGCGTGCTTGGTGTTATGATGGGGAAATAGGATGGGGGGTTGGGGTGGGGGGCTTCTTTTACCTGGGTTTCTCATAGGAGCATCTGTAGGCAGTCACAACCTGCCCCCCCCCCAATGACATCAGGCTTCCTTTTGACAACCCCTCAGCTTCTGGACTTTGAAACGCCATATAATATAGAGGAACAGCAGCTCTAGCAGGCCCCCATGATCAGTCAGTCTCTGGCACCCCTAGGTTAAAAAAAAAGACTTTTCATGAGACCCTGCTCAACAAGGCAGGCCATACGAAGTGGGACGGAGAAATGGAGAGTGCTGATTTTTTTTCCAGGTTCTCTCTCTCTCTTTTCACAAGGTCCCTTGCCCCTCCCGGCTGAGATGGCTGCCAAAGGAAGAAAGACAGCTCATTTTGCCTCTGATGATGCACCCCTTGGTTCTCAGCATGGTGTAGTGGATAGAGTGATGGCCTAGGTCTTAGGAGGCCTAGGTTCAAATCCCTGCTCAGCCATGGAAGCTCACTGGGGGAGTGGAACTGGTAAAACCACTCCTTAAACATCTCATTTACTTTGAAAGCCCTGTTAGGGTCGCTATAAGTTCCTTCTGACTTGATGGCACAGAACAGCAACACACTCCTTGCAATTCAGTGAAAGGACTTTCCTCTGAGCAGAGGAAAGCCTAGAATATGACATTCCTCTCTAAAGAGATGGACTGGGAATGGAAATCATAGTCAGGGTGGGGGCAGGACCAGACTACAGTTTGGAATGGTGAGTCTGAAATGATTTCACCGGTGTTAAATGTTAGAAGTGGAGCACTTAATTTGTTGTTGCTGCTGTTTAAAAGCTTGAACATGTTTAATTTTTTCAGTTAGTATTACTAAATGGTTTATTTATTTAAAATATTTCTATCGTGCTTTTATCCCTAAAAAGGACCCAAAGGCGACTTAAATAATTAAAAAGACAATATTTAAAAGCTTAAAAAGTAAGTGTACAAATAATTTAAAAAAAGAATTAAGCAAGTATTATATTAATGAAATCATCAACTTTAAAATAAACAAGAGGTGTGCAGGTTTGAACTATGCCACTCAGAATTCTTTAGGCCTGGGGAATTTATGGGATTTGTAATCACAAAAAAAATCCACATGCCTCTAATAAGCAGTGGGGCTTCTGGAGAATGGCATATTGTTGTTTTGTTTTATTTTAATACCATTGTTAGCCACCCAGAGTAGACTTCGGTCCAAATGGGTGGGATATAAATTAAATAAATAAATAATTATTATTATAAATAATAATATTGGTTGCCACCACTAATGCCTTTGAGGCCATTTCAAAGTGACACATTCAACAATGTTGTCTGTGTCACTTTGAAATGGCCTTCCCCAATCTGGCTGCCCCCCCCCAAGTGGACTACAAATCCCATAGAGCATTTCCTACCTGATTGGTAGTTCTGCCAATGAGAAAAAAAAATGAATGTCTTAACACAGCCTCGTCTTGCCACCTGAAGAGAGATACTCCTGTGAGTCCTACACAAAGCCAACAGTCACATTGAACTGCTCTTCTTCAGTAGAACATGACAGAAGCTTTGCCTGAAAGTGCAACCTGATCAAAAGGCTGTCCAGTTTCCACCAAACATATTCTCCTACAAGCTGTATAGGTCACCTGGGATTGTTGTCTTGTTGCTTCCAGAAATTTCACCCATTGTCTAGGCCAGCTAGGGCTTCTGGGAGCTCTCCATAAACATCTGGAGTGCTAAGGTGAGAAAACACTGGGTAGAACAAGTTCTCCTGGGAGATGTTTCAGCAACTTCATTCGGTGGAGGTGGCCTTTGGCCACAGTGCCATAGCATGGGAAGTGATTTTAGCACAGAGAAAATGCCCTGTTATTTTTGTCTTGTTTTTTAAAGAAAAGCATTGGGCAAAGTAATGCCTTTTCTCTTTTTTAATGGAAAAAATAACAAGCAATACTGAAATAATGTCTTATTTCCAAGCTCTGGGCCAGACTACGTAAGGATACAGCAGGGGCTTGGGGCTTGGAGGAGATGGCCCTCCCTCTTGATGCTATCCTGCCTACCAGACTGGTGCCACGGTGGCCAGTTCCCCTCCCTATCTATCCAAAGGGATGCTCCCTGCTTTCTGGCAGGAGAGGTCTCCTAGGACCAGTTGCTGAGTGGCCTTTTCCCTGGGCTATCCTTTGTGCAGAGCTCCACCTTCAGGCAGTCCTGCAATGGGAATCATGACAGGAGCTGAACATAATACTCTCCATCTCCCTTCTTGGGCCAATCAAGATGAACCTAGAAGCTGGAGCGGATGGTGCTCATGCCTACCCTAGCAATTGCTTATGTCACCTTGGGAAAGCTGGCCTCCCATTATAATAGCTGTTTTTACACATGAAGGGTGGGGACTAAGGCAGCAAGCTTTAATCAACTTCATTGGCAGAGTAATCAAGTGAAGCATTAATCACAGATTAAAGTTTGCCCTTGGTTAACTGGTGGGATGGAGACTGAAGGACACTCTGCTGCTCTGTGTGTGTGCGTCATGCTGTGTGTAGCACTGTCTCCCTTCTCATGCCAGATTTCATTGAAACAAAACTTAAAAGTAGTCTTTTCCCATTACTGATTTGATAGTTTGAAGATGAAATTGCAAGAAGTGTAACTACAGGCCATGGAGAGTGAACACACTCAGTTGAAATGAGAGTCAATCCATTTTTCTCTACCTTGATCTTCTCCCATTTTTATGGGATTTGACCCTCTTTGCTTAGGGGAGCTGTTTTACCCCTTACATGCTGTTGTAATGAGGGTTCAGTATGTCAAGAGTTCTGAATTGAAAAAAGAAAGAAAGAAATCGGTTGCAGCAAAAACAGATTACAGTGGCATGTTAAAGAGTAACAAATTTATTGTACCACAGACTTCTTTGGTCAATAACTAATTTCATCAGATGTGAGAAGTTTTATCAATAATCTCAGATAAATAAATACAATACACATAATTATTGAATTTCTAAAATGCTGTTTGACTCCCCATTGCTTTTGCAGCTGGCTGGATAGGTTAGACTAACATGACTATTCTGTTGAAAAGTATTAACATAAGCAAAACTGTTACTGGCAGTGCAAACATCCTGTTAACTAAACCAACTAACCCATATCGCATGATAAAAACATCTGTAATCTCAAACCAAACCTCTGGTTAATATACTGCACTTTCAAATGAACGTAATCTGTTGGCAAAAGGAAAAAAGAAACAAAGGAAAGGAAAAATACTGGAGCACATGAGACTAGGAGATTTATTTCTGTGTGAGCTTTTGTGGATCAAAATCCATTTCTTTAGACACAGAGATGCCCCTTGTATGACCTCAGTCCCATACCAACTCCTGGGAAAAGTCTAAATTATCACCCTAGTTAGGATCTACAATTTTTTAATATATTTTTTTATTTTTTAAAACTGCAACATAAACATAAACCAAAATACTAATCAACTGTGTTTCTCACCATCATAGTCTGGACCTCTTGCGGTAATCTTCTTCTAGTAGGATCTACTAATTAACAGCTTGTAACAAGTAGCATTCCCATGTTAATGAACCATTGTCACATTGTCTACTATCTGTATCCTCACCTGGACATGACTCTCAGCACTGTGGAATAAATATATAATAACAACTGCATGCTGTCATACCAATTCTGACTTATGGAGACCCTTCTCAGGGTTTTCCAGGCCAAGCATACTCAGAAGTGATTTACCATTCCCTTTTTCTGGGGTATCCTGGGATTGTGCAGTTTGCCCAAGGCCACACAGACTGGCTGTACTTGTAGGAGTAACAGTGGGGAATCAAACTCCCAACTTCTGGCTCCGCAGCCAGATAATTAAGCCACTGAGCTTTCCTGTCAGCTGGAACAAACATAGTGGATATGTATTTGTACTCTCTGAAGGAACAGATTTTCATCCACAAAGTTCACAGTGGATCTGTTGGTCTCTAAAGTCCTAAAATATTTTACTTTTCTTCCATTTTTTTCCCCTTTTGCCAATATGGTGAGATAGGGTAACACAACTGTTATTTCTTTGTAAATAACCTCTGCTTGAAGTTTCAGTGGTCTGCAACAGGTCCTTTCATCTCTCCCACTTATCATAACAATACATCCACTACAAAAACACACTATCTCCTGAAAAGGACAAAAGCTGTTCCTACAGCTATAAATACTCAACTATCCAAACAAACTGCACCAGAGCACAGACAGAGTTCCTACTCCAGTCCTCTGAAGGTGCCGGCCACAGAGACTGGCGAAACGTCAGGAAGAACAAACTTCAGAACACGCCAGAAAGCCCGAAAAACCCACAACAACCATCAGATCTCGGCCGTGAAAGAGGAACTTAATATGTTGTGTCTATTCTTTTGCATAGAGTTTGGCCTGTTTGCCTTTTGTAAAATTCAGAAAGACCCTGCTGGTGCTAGACAATGGCATAAATACTATGTAAGTATGTTTGCACTTATTTAAAACAGTGACACTTTGCTCTGAAGAAATAATTGCTTATTTATCCTGTATCTGCCTGAGAGATAATTTTATGGATTAGGACTCTGGAGAACAGGGTTACAGTGCCCACTTGGCCATGAAAACTCACTGGGGGAGAGGAACTGGTAAAATCACTCCTTGAATATCTCACTTACTTTGAAAGCCTTATTTGGGTTGCTATAAGTCAGTTCCAACTTGACAGCACAGAACCCACGATTTAAGGGAAAGCTCTCTAAGGTTGCAGGAAGCGGCAAAATGATTTAAATATATCCATTTAAAAAATTAGGACAGCGGATATTTAGCAACAAAGGTTCTTCTTCGTGGTCTCTATAAATGCACACTAATGGGTTTAATCTGCCCTGCTCAGAAGTCTCCGGAATATTCTAGAGCTCAAACGTACGTTCACCAGAACCTGCCCCCTTAACATATGTGGTCTACCCATCTTGGAGATTACCTCACTTCCTTTTTGCTGCCGCTGAGGTCTTATCTTCGATTGAGCTCTCCATTCGCG